AGGGAAAAAAATGTCTGGATCCAATTGAGGCAGACAGGCCTGAGTTATGTGGACTCCTTATTCAGTGCGTTTGCATGACACAATCTTAACATGCGCTCCATCAAATCCCCTGCACAACAAACCAAACCGAAGTTGCCGTCACAACTGTATATCGGTCGTCATGGTGAGCTTTACTACGGTAACGCCTGGGTGGCCGCTGGGTATTTTGTTTGCACCGAAGCCCACCTCACTGCAGCCTGTTTGGCATTGGTACAGTCTGATGTGGTGGAGCTCTGATTTGTGGTGCGTCAGTCGGTTCCCAGGCAGAGCCACCGTCTGCCGGAGCCTGCTTCGTGCCCACAGACGATGGCTGCAGCTGGAGGGGATTATCGGTGACATGTGCCAACCTGGGACAACACTGAGGCAGCAGTGGGAGCATGTGAGGGGGGAGAAAGGAAGAGCCACACCTAGAAATTTGACACAGCCGCTGTGGCTGAGAGCAGACGTAAGGAAACAGCTGGAACGGAGCAGACGGGCTCCCAAATACAGGAGGAGTGGGACAGGCCTCTGGTATTTCTATGTTTGTTATACTGCAATAGTTCTGTCAGCACGGCAGAATAATTAACAGCTGATGTTGGTGTCTTGGGATGGAGCCAGGTACAAACTTCTCATTAATCTGTGGATTTACAGCCACGTTGAACAGTCTATCAGGCATCAACATGAGAACAAAGTGAACACTGTCCTTCTGTTCTTCTTCATTTGGAGGACGCCGCCACAGCAGATCATCTGCCTCCAGCTCAGCATGTCCTCCACCTCCTCCTCTACTGTTGGACCACCTTCATCCACAGGATCCTTTACCCATTAATCCAACAAATCCAAACCTTCTCCACTGCCTGTCTGACTGTGAATGACTTGACTTTGACTCTGAGTTTCCAGACTGCTACCAGCAGCTAGCACAAAGACACACGCACAAGAATCTGGAAATAAAAATCCAATTTAATTGGAGAAAAGATTTCTGAATTTAGGGAATTCTGGAGAGAAAAAAACACTTCCTGCTTCCACCAGTCAACATCTCAATGTCAACTGTTGGGTCTTCAAGTTACCATGTTATCAATATTGATCCTGTTTAGAAGAAATGGGATGATAAAGTACAACTTGACCCTCCACTCCACATCTGTGGGTCACTTCAAACATGAATCAAACAAAAGGCTCCATTTATACCATGGGGTGGATAATCTGACGCCACAAAGAGCAGTTTTATCATCAAATGAGTAAAATCGTTGTCATTAATTTTGTCACAGACGTTAATTTTCCACAGTAGGGGACAAAAATTCCAGATTTGTTTCTGGGCTTCAGTGATTGGGGCCAATGAGGACGACTGTACAACAGCGTGTCTTTTCTGAACTATAATGATATATATATATATATATAATAGCTATATACTATAATAGCTATGGATGTAACGATGCATCATGGATGTCACATGGTGATCATATTTTGCAAAGTTCTTCCAAATAAAGGATCATTTTGATTTCATTTGTCTGGAGTTCACCTGATAAAATCGTATCGTGAACAGAACACCGTGAATCTTATTGTACTGTGTGATGATTGTATCATTATATCTCTATTAAAAGCATAAAATAATTGCTGGTTTTATAACACAGTAGACTCACATCCTTCTGCAGGGAGCCCAAACTCCTGGCCCATGGGCCACGTCCAGTCCTCAAACCTCACGTATTTTTTTAAATTATTATTTAATGCATTAGTTGCTCATTTCAAAATAAAAAAATACTACTAGTGTTAGCTGTTTGTACTGTAGTACTATATTATAGTATTTATAATAAACAAATAGTGTAGTTTTAACATTGAACAGGAACTACTTTTTTATAAAAAATATGATGATGGCAGCAGTGGACCTCGGCTCCTTGGAGTTTAGGACCACTCCCCTACTGTAAATGTAGGGTGAAAATTTTTGGACTAATGGTTATAAAATATACATCCCCCTGAGGCTGTGTCTGCTAAGTATCAGCCCACACCCCCCCTGTGGTTCCAGAGCAGTGGTGAGGAGGAGACAAAAGGCTGTGTCACCCACAGCTGGGCAACACACCCCTGACTGCAGCCTGAGCTGCAACAATGGAAATGGAAGGCAGGCGTTATGGATTCGCTCTCATACAAACTCACAAAGACGGGGGAGAAAAAACCAGGGAATGGCAGCGTTTTGTCAGCTGCTGTGAGGCTGTACCGTAACAGGCACCAACACCCAGCTGACTGCATCGAAATGGGTGTAAAACACCAGCTCAGTACCTCCACCCTTGATGCTCTGAGAGCAGGTCTGAGGCGAACCATTACAAGGCCGGCTTATTACATCTCATTACACATGGGCGTATGATACCCCCGCCCCTCTTTTCCTTCACACTCTCCCCTCTGCACCAGCCTGCAACATGAATGGAAGCTCACATTTGAGCTCTGCGATGGTCACAATATTTCCTCAGTGAGCTGCAGGAAATAATGAGTAAATATATTTTTTTAAACTGTCTTTGACCTCAGCACAGTTTAGTTTATGTTTATGTAAGGTAAAAGTCACATTTATATTATAAGGGTTATGAAGGCTTAATGTGACTAACACATTCCTGCCATTTAGACATCAAGGGCTGAGCCTTGTCATAATGAAAAATGTAGATTATCTCTGTAACAACATTATTATGGAATCATCATCATAAAATTGTTATTTGCCATGACAAGTCACAGCAGTGTGCTGCAGAGGGCACAACACCCTCTGCAGAAACACCACCACGGCTCCATTAAAGGAGGAGCCGGCTCCACACAGGCATGGATCCGCTCAACAAAGACAATACAGCAGACTGGTGGACCGGCGGCCACCCGTGCCATTTCTCTCTCTTTTTCCCCCTCGCCCCGTATGCTGCTCTCTGCAGGCTTTTTAATATATATATATAAAAAAAAAATTAAAATGTAGTCGTAGTTTTAACGCGTGAGATGCGCAGTGAAAATGCAACATCATGGATCGAAGTTGCCACAAAACCATCACCGTGCAGCATGAGTGGCTCTTTTTACTCACTGTGATCTTCGGGATGTTCTTTTTTCCTTGATAAGACATTGTTCTTTTTTTCAGTGGACTGCGCCTTTAAAATCACGACGGTGTTATAAAAGTCTACCCCTTCCTCACGGATGCTGCAGCGACCCTCGCCTGGATGGTGCGTCAGGGAATGATCTCCCCTCTCTCTGTCTGTCAGCGAGATGTAGAGCGGCTGTGTTCGGTGTTAGAGGAGCGGCTCTACTCCACACGACCGGCCCCTCCCAGCTGGATTGGGAGGATGTGATGTTCCAATGTTCCCACAAGAGGGCGGAAATATGCTGCTTTCAGGTTGCAGCCGTTTTCTGACGCGGTTAAAACGTCTTTAACGGCAGTGAGAAGGCAAAAATAACTCAGCAACAACATTGCTAAGGTTGATAATAAAACACACACATAAGAGAATCAGCAGAGGCCCAAACAAAGCTCTGAATCCTCCCGAAAACGTCACACATCCATTACTAAGGTGAGCGGAAGTGCACAGCTGCAGCTAATCACACGTCCACACAGAGGTAAAAAAAAAAAAAAACTATGACTATGAATCGTTAAAGGTTCAAAATATAAAAATGTGAAAGAAACAGATGAAAATCAAAAGCAAATTGGAAATTAAAAGTTAAAATTAAATATAAATATGAATTCGTTTAGCCGAATGATTTAAATGAAAATAAAAATTAACCAAGAGGCTCAAAAGCTCACAAAAAAGAAAAGAAAATGGAGGTGAAACCAAAATACTAAAAGTCAAGTCTGAAATCAATAGTTTCCAAAAAATATAAAATAACCAAATTCTCAGATTACATTGTAGATAACAATATCCGTGGCGTCACATGAAGTACACGGATGAATGTTTTCTTGTATTTAAGTGCAGTGTGTGGCATCAAATATTTACGTACATTAATGGCTCAAAGGACCCGGGGATTTTATGGCTTTGCATTTTCTTCAGACAGAGGGACAGAACAGTGGAGCAGCTGTGAGGGCAGAACTCAACACATTACACACACCAGGTCTTCACACACTCACACACACAGCCATGTTAGATATGTCCACTCCTGACCATGTGCCCCCATTGTTTGGACCCCTTCAGTCAACCTCTAACATCCCCCTCCTCATCACTAATGCACTCATATTGACCTGCATGAAACAGTGGACACATGACTGGGACTGAGCCATATAGGAACTATGTGTAATGTCCAACAAATGAAGTATGATTTTTGTTTAAATATTCGTATTTCCTGACGGTATAAAACCCAGGCTACTGCATGTCCTACAGCAGTCAGTCAGTCAGTCAGTCAGTCAGTCAGTCAGTCAGTCAGTCAGTCAGTCAGCCAGTCAGCCATTATGTCAGCACTTCACACAAAGAAGTCACCAACACTTCAAGATTTGCAGGCCTGCTACCTCTGCACATCAACCAGCTGACACTGACAGACGGAGAGGGAGGCAGAAAAAAACTCAGTCATCAAACTCAACAATCAGGATTACTGCAAATACTACTACTACTGTTGTATTCATATCTGTCATTTCTCATGAAAAAAACAGCATTACAATCACTTTTGTTTCTAATATGATTTTGAATGTGTATGACAGTTGACAGACCCCAGACATCAGTATGGGTTTAAATATTTCTCTCCGTCCACGTCTGCTCCTGCTGAGTGTCTACAGAATCAATACCCAGGGAGACAAAAGGAGAACTGACTTCAAACCAACATGAATATTATATTAATAGACAGATACATTTGAAGCTGATATTAAAGGGTTCATGTATATATATGTTTGATAATATGATAATATGTTAAAGTAAATTAGTTTTCATTTGACCCTGTTTTATTTGCCAGGTAATGACATACTGCAGTACTATTGTAATTAATATTTTTATTCACATCTGACACAATACAAAACTTTTTTTTCTTTTTTTTTCTTCATTCTTTCAAAAGTAATGCTTCATGAAGTACAGACATTAATGTAAGATTGAGGGAGAATCCTTCCTGTGTTACTAATATGTTTTTATTTGTTTATAAAATGCATTAATAAAAATGCTGCTACAGTATTTGCAGTTGTTTTGTAAAGGTCAGAGCCTCTTCATGACTTCAAACCTTTGTTCTCTCTCCATGGTGCTGAAACATGAAGGCCCAGCCTTTCCTTCAACTTCTCTGCACGGCTCCACATGGACTCAGGGCCCCATTAAAACAGAGTGGTCAGCATAATAATAATAATAATAATAATAATAATAATAATAATAATAATAATAATAATAATAATACTGTCTGGTTTCTATTTGTTTTGTTTTTTATAGATTTTCAATTTAAAATTTACTTTGATTGCATCTTTGAACAGAGTTTACCAACTTTTAGAAAACAATGACTGCAGTTGTCCTCTGAGCTGTTATGTTACTGTATGTCATCCATTAGTAGGCATTAATAACCTGATCCCTGCCATTAAACAAACAGCAGGTCATCAGACGTCTCTCATTATTCTGCATTTGCAATATAGCAAAACCTGTTTTTGCCCCTGTCTTTCTGCATCGAATTCTATTCTGTTTTTTATTTGAACAGAAACATGAAAACATTTGTTCCTCGGTGTTTTCACCAGGTCTGTCAGATTCACCTGCTGCAGATCAAAACAACAAAGTTTCTGTTTTCTCACCGTCTCTTCTCCCAGGCTCTGCGGCACATCTCTGTTGCCCCGAGGAGAGTCTTCTCCTGCCCCGGTGTCACTCTTCTCTTCATGGCCGCTCCGTCCTGTCGTGATTCTCGGGGTGCGGTGTTTTTTCTGACCCGAGCTCAGGGCGTCAAAGTCTATGGTTTTATTCTCGAACGCGTCCTCCACGGTGCAGAACAAACCGCGGTGGCTTTGCCGCGGGACCTGCTCGGTTTTGCGGGGCTGCCGTGCGAGATAAAGCGGCAGGTCGTCCTCAGCCTGGTCCTCCTCAGTTCTGCCTCGGTCCATGGTCGATCTGGTCGAGGGACAAGTGCGTGGGTCTGTGAGAGCCACAGAGTCAGGAGTCAGACCGAGGGATTAAATACAGTGACAGAGAGGTCGATAACTGGAGGTGCAGTAACTCATTCATAAAAGTATGTCAACAATGAAAACTATAAAGTATTTATTCAGATACTTATTGTACCTCAAAAGTATTCGGAAAGTATCTAAATATATACATATCATTCTAATCAGAAAACACAGTACTCTGGTGAACCTTCAGCAGAAAATGAATTAGGAGCTGTCCTTTCAAAAACCTCTTAACAACAGTGGTTTTCAAAATGCGGGGCGGGCCCCTCTAGAGGACATGGAGCTACTGCAGTGAGGGGACAGGGAGGTTTCTGCTTTAAGAAGCTTAGTTCATGGTGAAACTTTTGAACAGGAAAATGTACAGAGGAGGCAGGGGGTAGGTTGATATGGATGCAGATAATTCACAGTAGCGCCCCCTGGAGGAAAGAACTAGAATATTTTTGATTTTTAAAATAACACTTTATAGAAGAAGAAGAAGAAACTCTCTCTATTTTTAACATTTTTGCTGAAGTCACTGGGTTTCAGCGTGGTTCTTTAGGTTATTTCACAATAGTCCAATCCGCAAAAGGAGGCGCTGAAGAAAACATTTGGGAAACTGCTGCCTTTGACATCCATATGACTTATCAATATGACCTCGGGTCCATCATATCAGCTCAGACTGGGTTTTGAGACTTACACAGATGTGTCAGCACCAGGAGCTGAGAGACTGCTGAGTCTGGAGAGTCAGGGAAGAAGATACAGGAGTGGAGGAAGAGGAGGAGGAGGAGGAGGAGTTTTTTCCTCAAAAATACTTCCACTGGTTTAAGTAAATGTTCATCCAGAAACTAAAACAAAAAACAAAAACAAAAAAAAAAAACAAGAGCACTTTGTCAAAATCAGGTTATGTGGTTTGGCAGAAGAGCCTTGCAGCACAATGACAGTGGGTAAGTTGGCCACTGTTTGAAAAGCCAGTCAATGTGAGTTGTTTTTTGGACAGAGGTTGTGGGACAGACAGTAGACCATGTCTGTGACCAGCAGTTTATTCAAAACACTTTTATAAAATAAAACAAAAAGAACAGACGGGACAGAGGAAGCCTCTGCCACAGAGGAAGAGCAGAAGTGCAGTAAAATCTGAGCAAATTACAACAGAAAACCACCAACATTTTCTGCTGTGATTTTGGCCAAATTTCAACAATAACATATTAGCATCATTTATAAGTTAAAGTTGTTTTCCCCCATGGAATGTTGTTATTTACAAAATAATCATCAGCCATAATGAGTGTAGATGAAAGCACACAAGTGGAGGTCATGATGTCAGTGATGAAAAAAGAGCCGCGGGGAACAGACACAGCAGCTGCTTCCGTCTGCTAATGTTGGGCTGGAGAGCAGCTGCAGCTGAAACAAGGTTAGAAAAACCTCTGAGGATGTCATGTGTACGTTTGTCTGGTGTCTTTATGTGTGTCACATGGTAAACACTAAATGATGTTAACACACACACACACACACAGCTCTGTGGATACTACCATACACAGATAGAATCACACATTAGATCATTGTTTCTCAAAGACTGGGTCGTGACTCTCAGGTGGGTCACAAGAGGGTTTTTTTTTTTGTCATCTAATCGTCTAAAGAGTCCAAATACAAAATTGTATATATATGTACGTATATATGTATGTATATATATATGTGTACGTATATATATATATATATATAGTATATATTTACTCTCAAAAGATTTTTAAAAATGCATTCATATTTTAATACAATGTAGTGCAAGATGAGGAAAACAAGACGGAACATCAGCCAATCACAGGGTTCAAAACCACTGCAGTGTAGCCGTCAGCTGCCTGGATCCTCTCCTCATTTTGTACAATTATGAAGCAGTTTAAAACAGTTCACGTTAGCAATCAAGTCAAGGACGAGATTGTTTCAGTTCTTTTAAGTTTATTTTTATAATCCGGGGTAAATTAAAAGGAGGGGTTTGTTTCCTAATGGAAGACAGACGGGGATTAAAAAAATTCTCTCTGAAATAAAAACAAAATATACATATACTCTATTTACAATATACATTACATGATAATTATAAATAATAACAATAACCATCTGAAAAAATAACAGTTAGAAAGGAACACACAAGAGGGGAAAGTGCATTTAAGGCAACTGCTCACTGGCTGAGCTTGCACAACAATAGTCTCCGTTGTTCCCCACGTTGAGTTCAAATGAGTGGAGTTGGTCTTGGCCTCCCTGTATGGGGGGAGCCAGCGGGGGGGGTACAGTTACAACAGTCTGAAAGATTATTTCATGTCTGAAAGGTCACGTTTCAGAGAATGAATGAAATGCATTGGTTTTTACAAATAAAAAAAAATCAAATTCAATGTACCTGAAATAAACAAAAAAAGCACCGTTATGGATCACCAGATGTACAGTGGTAAATGAGCTATATTCACCTAATTGATGTGGCAATTATAGTTGATTTAGTACTAATACTAATTAGTAGTACTAATTTACTACTCATTTGTCTTGCTCTAAGAAGAACTTTTCCACTAGGTGGCAACAAATGGCTACAAAACCTTTTTTTAATAAAGGAGAGACACTCAGAGCTCTTGAAGATCTTCATCTGTCTTTCTTTGATTCCTGTGAGTATATCACCGTTGTGTTCAACTAAACAGGCCCAGGTTTCTCACTGAGAAAGTAAGAGATCATTAGATTTAATTTCACACACTTCTTGTGTTTGGTGATATGTCATGGAATTTTTCTAATGTAAAATATGTGCCAGCTCACAAAGGTCTAGACTGTTATGGACAGGTGATATCTGTGACGGTCTTGGGGGGCATCATGGTGGATCTGCATCCAAGTCATAAAAAAATGATAAAAAGAACTGCAGAGACACAGTGAGGAAATAAAAGGAGACTCTGACTTTAGGATACACCAGTCAGCTCAAATCAGATCAAATCAGATCAGATCAGATCAGATCAGAGTGTCTTTTTGTATAGTGTGTGTTGCAGCTGTCAGTTTATACGATTGTTTATTCTTTAATCAAATTTAAAAAAAAAAGTTATTTAGAAAACAAGGAAAAATCAAATCTGAAGTGTGAGTAGATGTTTGACTGTACATGACTGTGTGATGGTGCATCTACCTGTCCAGGGTGTAGACTCTGCCCCCATATTGCTCACTGACGCCACCTTATGGCCTGCAGATACCAATGGACACAACTAAATTCATACCAATTCGATCACCTGAAAAATACTGTTAGTATAAAGGTAACGTACTCAGCTGTTAAAGGGTGCATTCAAAGTTACTCATATTTAACCAGCGCCCCTTGTTGGTCAACCAGACTAACGCAGCTTACACATAAGTCCGGTTATTTAAATAGAGAGAAAATGTGAATGGCGCAGGAATCACTTCATCATTTATCAAGTCATATCCTAACAATCTTTCACATTAGAATTCTTTTTAGTACATTAACCGTTCAAACTGCATCAGAGTAAAAAAAATCCAAACTTTTACAGAAGTCAATGGGGAGAGGGCAGCATAAAATAAACATCATACATTTACATATCAACAGATGTATATATGTCAGTGTACACGTGGGGTTTTTCTCAGTGGGAATCATGGGACACAGCATGTGGTTGGTGAGAGCTGTAAAAAAAATGGGAGGAAGGTTCAGTCTGCTGGCCTGTGGTGGAAGTGGAAACGAGGTCTAAGAATTGCAGGTGTTTGAGTCTGTGGAGCTCCAGGTGGAAGGAGTGCAGGTTTGTCTTTCTCTCTCTCTGCATTTCTGTCTGTTTCCTAGGTCTACGCTCTGGAGAGTTCGGTCTTTTCGAGCACCAGGCTGGGATCAGTGACAGAAGGCCAGTCAAAAAACAGGCCGCGGAGTTCCTTGAAATCATCTGACCCCAGACCAGCGCTGTTTTCTGCACTCTGAGCCCTGAGATGTCTCGCTTCTTTTTCATCAAGAGGTGGCGTTCATCCTCTCAGGTTTGGAAAGTAAAGGCAGCAGCAGAGGAGAAGAGGAGAAGCAGTGGTCTGGTGTTTGTTTCTGTTCCTCTTTGTTTATGACTTGTTCTGTTTGTGTATGTTTCCCGCTGTGGTTAAATGCTGCTGAGTGGCATAATATTACCCTGCATGGCAGAGAAAACATTCCCCAGGCTTTGGTTTGGATTTGTCAAAGCTCGTCTGTGGTTTGCATCCGCATGCTTTCCTGCATGCCTGTCCATACACTGCACTGTGTCCGTCTTTCTTTCTGTTTTCTTTTTTGTTCCGTTCTGTTTTTTTTTGCTGTTTGAAATGATGTTCAAGGTCGAAGACCACTTTAAAAATATATACCAACCTGGGGATCGTACTGACAACCCCATCGCCATTTAAATAAAAACTAAGAGGGAGGAAGTCTTAAGTGTGAACACCCTGGGCCAACACATGTCACGTCCACCTCACACTGACAGCAGTCACTGATGCTATGACACACACTGGTCCACACTTGTCCAGAAAATATACAACACTGTAGTCAAACTGAGACGCCACCTGAGAGACAGGAAACAAAGACAAGAGAATTACAACGGACACTTACCACTGCAGAATTCACAAAACTACCTCGTGAGTATTCCTGAATACTTTGATCCCGACTTCTGTGATAAACATTTTTGGACTGTCAGATGGGAAAAACACACAGTCAGGTACTTTCTAAAGAGCTCAGAATCATAAATTATCGACTACCTCACCAACAGTAATCTCTTAACCTGTGGCTGATGTGGGAGTGATGCGTTTCACAGCCCGTGTCAGGGAAACACAACAACATTTACGTAGGAACAACAGACTTCTGCGGAACATCAAACATCACAGAGTCGACTTTTATCGCCAAACCATTTTTTTCTTTATGGATAGCTAACGATTTTGGAAACATCACAAACACAGGTTAAAAATCATGACGTAAAACTAACACACAGGAGGTGAGAGCTGCTGCAGCTGCTACTTTTCCAATATGTAGTATATCAGGTAATGGAGTTCTTCCTATCCATCCATCCATCCATCCATCCATCCATCCATCCATCCATCCATCTATCTATCTATCCGTCGATCATTTAAAGGAGTTCATGTGAAAACACCATTTCCAAAAACAGCTGGTACACATCCTATAAACCAGTGGTTCCCAAAGTAGGGGGTGCAGGGCTATTTGGGGAAGGACATGGGGGTCAGGAGGTTAAAATGAATGTCTCTTTTAAACTTTATTTTTGGTACAGTGGAGAAAATGCAGTGATTTGAATTTGATGTTTTTCATTCAACAAAGAACATAAAGAAGAAATAAAACACAAAATGAAGTAACACAAGGTGAGATGTAGAGAATGAGAGGTGAAGAAGACACACGATGAAGGTTCAGATGGAGGTGCAGCACAACGACCAGCTTCACTCTAAGGTTAACTAGAGTGAACTAGAGACTAAGGATTACAGATGCCGGTGGAGACGCTACTGGTTTGACATTTTGACTCTGAGCCTACGTTTCTTACCTCCGTTTATGCCACACACCACAGACTTCAAGGCCAAAGGATAAAGGCAAGAGAAAAGAACAAGAATAGAAACAAGAACTGGAGAGACAGAAAGAGAGACAGAGGGTTAAAGAGTTAGAGGAACACTCCAGGTATGTTAGCCACAGCAGAAACAGAAACAGGTCGCCTGAGAATCTGTCGTAACTCAACATCATCAGGCTTTTATCAGAGGAAAGTCTCACCTTCTCCTCCAGGTCTTTGATCTGCCTCCTCTGAATTTCTGTCTTGTCCTCCAGGTCACGAATCCTCTGTGAACATTAATCAGTAGAATCATACTGTTGGATTGTTTTCATCGATGAAGCTTTCATATTATAACATGCACATGAATCATATAGGTCATGACATGGTTGAACGGCAGACGGACCTGATGAGCCTGGTGCAGCAGCTCCATCCTCTCCTGGAGGATCTGGCAGTCGTACTCTCGACTCTTCCTCAGCATCTGTCTCCGGAGCTTCTCCACGGCGGTCCGCAGCTGCTCCCTCTGAAGTTCATCCAGGGGTTCACCGTATTTAATCACCTGGTGGAAGCAGGTAAAGTGATTCTGATGATTCTTCAACACCAGCTTCAACACCACAGAACCGCAGGTTCAAGACAGGCTAAGGCAGGGATTCTCAAGGTGTGGGGCAGGATCATCATTCATTCTATTCCACTGATTTACTTTTGATTTAATACATGTGGCTAAAGTTGAGACTATAACTATTAGGATGCAAAGCATCAGGAAAAAAATAAGTGAAATTCATAACTTCAGGTTTGGGACTTCAGTTAGAGGGAGAACAAACCTTGTCCTGTTGCAGAGCGTTGTATAAAGTTGCTTCCAGTTCCTGGATTTGCTGTTAAGAGAAAAACAAAACTTAAAGTAAACGTACGACTGTTGTATGTTATTAATGCATTTCTCGCCTGTTTCCACTCTTCACGTGACTGTTGTGTTTCAGAGTTGACCTCACTATTTACCATGTGATTACAGTCATAATGAGTCACATGATATGTCGTCAAAGCGCCGTGTCACACACGTATACATTACACTACCATATAGGCCTGGTCCAGGGCCTGTTTTCTGTAGTCCAGTTCTTCCTCCAGATATCCTTTCTGTTTACAGAACATCTCCTGTTGAGACGGATCAGAGAAATACCAGGTCAAAAAAATCTATAGATTACATTTGAAAATAAAACAGGAGATGTGGATAAAATGTTATTAAAAATCATCAGTAGTTGTGTTTAATTATAGGCTAACCGTTGTCTTGCAATGACTGATGTTGTACTGTAGGAGGGAGTGTTGTAACATACCATCTCAATCTCCAGGTCCATCATTTTCTGGTGCAGTGCCGCCTCCGTCCCCTCGATCTGCTGGATCCACTAGAGGGCGACAAACATTACACAACAACTCAATGCAGCGCTGATGATAAAGAAATGGGAGTGAGCTTTTTTTTTTTTTTTTTTCAATAAAGAAATGAGAGTGAGCTTTTTTTTTTTTTTGTAAACAATGACACTTACCTTTTCAGCGAGCGACAAAACAGTGCTGGCCTGAATAATAGCCACCTGTTCTTCATTTCTTAAATTCTGTGCCACAACAGAAAAATGCATTTGTAATTACAAGCCTAAACAACAAGATTATATATATATAAAGTCTCATAATTACCCCATTGTCTCCTAGGATGTCTAGAAGTTTGATGAGATCAGGTATGCACACATCCTGTAGGACAATAAAAAAGAAAATAGACTTAAACTCTGACAAAAATATTCTAATTTATATCTTTGTAATGAAGGCTGTTTGGTGGGTTTTTTCCTGATCCTTGTACCTTCACTCCCTCCTTCATGCAGTAGATCTGAAGGGCACTGATCCCCTCAGAAAAAGGATGCATTCTCAGGTGGTTGAATGGAGGAGATCTCCTCTCACGCTCCTACGATATATATATTAAACATTAAAAAAACACACTTATTGAAAGACATAACAATAGGGGAAATCACATAATATCTTCTAAAAAGTAGTTGATCTGGCCGAAACTGCAAGTTCAATTCCACCTTTCAGGTCCTAACCTGAGGTTTGGGTTATCAGAGGGGAACTAAATTATATTGCTGTGGTCACGTTGGTGATTACTGATCTACAGTGTTTCCTCTTCACTCTGGTTATTTTGGGCTCTGTGCTGTGTTTCGTGTATTTTCTGGAACCAAATCCCCAGAACCTCCTGTGAAGGAAACAGTTCTCAGAGACTCACCTCAAGTTCCAATATCCTGAACTCCAACAGCTCGTTCTGGTCTCTGGAGTCTTGTAGCTCCAGCTGCAGCCGACTGCACTCAGACTCCATCTTTTCAATCTGGGCACAGTGGCAAATACATAGTAAAACAGTTATTCTTATTTTTTTATTATTTTTTTTATTCCCTTTAGAGAGAGATTCCAACCTTGTCCAGCAGCTCCTGGTTCCTTCTTAAGAAGAGCTGTTTCTCCTCCACCCATTTGGAATCCTGGTGAAAGATGCAGAAAAATACTTCATTCACCTTGACAAACACATGTAGTGTTTACATTCACACACATGTTGGTGTTTAATACCTGTCCCCTCAGAGTGAGTTCCTTCTCCAGGTCTTCTATCTTAGCTTTGTACCTGAGAACATCTGCTTGGATCTGCTCCTGAGCCTATCAAAAAAAAAGAGAGATTTTCATTGCAGTTACAGACTTCACCCACTAGGCTTTTCCAGTTCTTCTAATCCCAAACAAATTATAGTAGAAACTCACAGACAGACATTGTTTTTCAGAGTTTGCATTTTTCAGTTTGGTCTCAACCTCTGTTCTGGAACATGAAGTTCTTACGCTGCTGAATGTTCCAGTCGAATCCAATTATATTTAACTCAATTCCTGTTACTGTACTTAAAAAGAAATCCATGGAACGCAGCTGTTTGTCAGTGATTTTCTATCTCACTTCAGAGGTAACTGCTCCACAACATGTTTGTCACCTTTGTGACCTTTATTCTGACCTGCTTTATTATTTATTTTCCTCTCAATTGCATCAATACTTCCAAAGCTGTGATCATGTTTAGTTAAAAAAGTTGCTGAAGGCTACAGATTCCTGAGGCAATGGGAGGATTTTTTTGTTCGTACCTTGGCTACCATCTCGGCGTCCAGTACTCCTCCTTTCTGTTCCTGCAGCAGGGCGTAGGCTCGCTGTAAGGCCTGGTACTCCCGGGTCAGCTGACGGAAACGCAGCTCTGACTCCTCGTTGGCGAGCCCCTTTGTTGACACACAGTTAGGACATGACAGGGTGAACCAGAAGATTAAAATAAAAGAGTCACTTTACACTTTGTTCAGACAGGTGACAAGTTCTAACCACGTCCAGGTCTTCATCAGGAGTGGCCGGAGTGCGGTCCGTGCGAAACGAAGCCACCGAGGACGACTCTGAATCCATAGACTCTTCATCATACCCGAAAAAGGTGTCAACGACAATATGTCTCTGCAGAGAGAAAAATCAACAGACATCAACAATTAGGTTCACTGACACGTAAATGTCCTGTGTGATGAACACATGGATTGTTTAAAATTGTTTTTGCTTAAAATAAAGAGAACCAATTAGATTTTTAAAAAGGTCACAGACAAGAGATGTACAGTTTATTTTATTTTATATAGAATAAATTACAAGTAATAACATATTAATAGAATCTAAAATACATTAAAAATACCTTTATGGGCCTCGAGCTTCTTTTATGCCTTTTCTTTCTTAGTAACTTCTCACGATCCTGAAATCAGAAAGAAGATTGAAATTAGAAACAACTTTGTGACAATTACTAACAGAATTATTTACAAATCAGGGCATATTTTACATTTTTGAGAATTTTAATTTGCCATACATCCATACAAACTTTGGACCGCCGGAGTACTATCTACGTATGTACAGTAACTAGACCAAATGAGCCCAATCAAATCACTAAATTCATGAACAGACATATCTGTATAATTTATGTATATATATTTTTATAATTTGTATCTGTATAAAAAATGTGAAAAGTGAATATATATACATATATGGCCAGGAATTGCACCAGCAGTCACTTACGGTTTACATTTCTTCTAATGCTCACGTTCTCACAGGAACTTGAGAATCAACGGTATCATAAAACTCTTAAATACCAAAACCACATCCTCAAGCCCCAACCAGAGAAAAATGTACCCTGGTCAGTTCATCGATGATGTTCTGCTGCTCCAGGACTTGAAGCTTAAGAAAGGCTGTTTCCTGGTCGTCTTGGGCCTGGTCCAGGTCGTTGAGAGACTTGAGCTTCTTGAGCGGTGGGTGGGAGCTGATCTTCTCCTTCTGTAGTCGCAAGAACAGCCACAAAGACAAAAGACCAGAGACAGATCCTGTCAATGCTCTGTCCCTCTGAGTGGACGCAGCGTCCCTGTCTGTCCCCACTCACCATCTCCAGGTTCTCCTTGGCCAGGCTCTTGAGTTTCTCCTCTAACTTTTGGATCGTCTGGGTTAAATCGTCGTTCCTCTTATTCAGCAGCTTGTTCTTGTCCAACAGGGGTTTGCACTGCTTCTCTGACTCTCGAACTCTCTTCAGCTGGTGGACCAGGAACAAGACATAACGGGAAACGTTGTAGTGAAAAAATGTGTGTATTTTTAAATGTTTTTTTGCCCTCCTTTTACCACCTTTTCAGCCCCCGAAGGGGGGCGTGACCAACTTACTATGGATGCTACCTCTTGTTTATCTTTGCTCCAGCAGCTAACCTCGTTTCTTTGCACTGTACTTCTGTGTTTTGCATATCAAAAACTGAAGGCCATTCTATTTTATTCTATTCTATTAAAGCCTCCATTCTCTGTCTGAGAACCAGCCGATGTTTTGTAAGGTCTGTGTAGACATTAGGTGTGACCCTAAAAAACAAACATTCCGACTACAACAGTTGAACCTTGTTAGCCTGGGTCACCAGAGTGCACTAACTTCTATTAATAACGGCTAAATCAGGCTAACTTTCATATAGGAAAGACAGATGTGAGCTGACGTTTCACATCTCACCAGTTCATTTCTTTCATCAACCAGCAGCGTGTTGCGATCCTCCAGTTTGCGTATTGTTGAGTTGAGTTCGGCAACTCGTCTCTGGTTTCTCCTCAGGTCCTAAAATCAAGCAAACGATGAGATGAAAATGAGTTTGTCATGATCACCTGGAACAAAAGTATTAGATTAGAAGGAATTCAATTACAATTGCAATTTTGATTTGTCAAAATTCTTTTGGATTATGATTTTATTAGATCTCAACAGGACGGAACATGAAAGGATCATGTTTTGATCTTACTGGTCCAGCCCAAATATCACAATTTAGGAACATGTATAAAGATGTATCTGTGTTAACTGTAGAACCACGTAGTACAACTAGATTAGAGTAGATCTTGATCATGACCAGATTACAGTCTCTGGTGCATCACTCATCCACTCTTCATCCACTCTGCTTCCTCCCTGTCCTTACTGGGCTGCCACAGTGTTCCGCTCCGTCTCCAGCTCTGCCGGGAATCTCCCTTTTCGGGCTTCCCAGGCCACACTCTGCCTCCTTGGCCAGGAACAGCTGTTCATCCAGAGCATCTTTCTGAAGCTGCAGCTTCTGCAGGAACCCGGTGGTTGACTCCAGCTCCTTCTCCAGCGAGAAAATGGTGCGGTCTTTTGATCTGATTTCATCCACCTGTAGGAAAGAAGAAGCAAACGATGGTGAGGACAGCAGCTCATATTTAGGACACGGCTGTAACGCACCAGTAACGGACCAGTCTGCGGATGTCCCTCTCGCAGTCCCACTTGATCTTGGAGATCTGCTCCTGGTGCTGCTGGTGTTCCACCCTCAGGTCCCCAGCTTTCATTTTGTCGGCCTGGATCATGTTGTTGAGCGCTTCGTCAGTCTGCTTCTTGGCAGTCTTTAGCTCCGCTATCTCCTGCAGGAGCTTCACTCTCTCCTGGTCAAAGAAGCGGCGCGCCTCCTCTTTGGCTTCCAGAGTCAGTGCAGTGCGAACCTGGAGATCAGACTGCTTATTGTTGCATGTTTTTTTTTATATCGATGAAGTCCAACACTAACTTTACTGCCACCTCCAGCCTCACCTTCTCTCCGCTGCCATCACGTATGGCGTTCAGGGCGGCTTTGAGCCTCTGATTCTCCTGGTCTTTGATTTTGGCGTGGCGAGCCAGCTCCTGCTCGTGCTGCCGGGTCAGGTTTTCCCTGAGAGCTTGCAGCTCCTTTTGTTTGTCCTCGTGCCACTTGGCCCGCTGCTCTGTTAGCATGGCAGTGTGACGGTGCTGCTCCTGCTCTCGTACCCGCTTCACCTCCTGCACTTTGTCCCGCTCCAGCTTGCTCACCTTTTAGGAGAAGCAAAAAAAAAAAGGTCACTGTCAACCACAAAGTTTTTACGTCAATAAATGACAACAAATAAATACTTCAATACTCGATACCTTGCATTTTTCTTGGTGAAGCTCGATCTGAATGTCTGTCAACTTTGACCTGAGATCTTCATTGGCTGCCTGCAGGGCTGAGATGAGGGCTTCGGGCTTTTCGCCCTTTGTACGACCTTTCTTGGCCATCGAGTCAAATCCTAGTCAGTCTCTCCTACAGTTTTCATGAAAACCTCACCATAACTTTTTAAGGGGCTGCAACAGTTTCCAAGTTCTCCTCCTCCTCATTATCCTGTCAGACAGAAGGGCTTTGGGGGTCGAAGGTTGAAGAGACAAAGGAGACACAAAATCAGTCAGAGAACAAACTGCTGGACAGGTGACACCAGCCAACTTGTCCAACCTGCGCTTATAGTGAATTACATCCTACACTGGTAGCTAAGGTCAAGTAAGTGTGACCTCAAGTGTTTAACAAAGTGTCTCAAACAAATCCAGTGACCAGTAAATCAAAGCAAAATGAATAAACTCATTTTCTAATTACACTTGGATGACAGTGTGTTCCGTCCCAGCAAAGCGGATCACATGCACATTCTCTGTGTGACAGAGGAACCGGTCATAATGTTAAAAGGATAAATAAAAACAGCTGTCACGCTCCTTGAGTTAACGTGTGCCATCTCGACTGTATGATAAAGAACACTGAGATCAATAGAACAGTCTTATCACCGTTACCTTCTCCATTTGCCTTTAGTGACGTGTGACAAAGTCTGTTACACGTCCTGAACGCAGAGCCAGTGATCATGAGTCTGTCGCTGCTGCAGGTCATGAGACTGAGGCTAAAACAAGCACATTAGCGACGGTGCGGTCGGCAACCTGATGTATCAAACACTTTAAATACTGTACATTGGAACAGATCACAAACAGACTCAAACAGCTGTTATGTAAACACAGTCTCGTAACAACATTAGGTAAAGGCCAGACAATTCTGTTACAGAGTTAAACTCTAATAGAGTTAGGCCGAGACTGGGGAAAACTGAGAACTGGTTCTTCCACAGAACCTGCTCCAATCAGTACAGGTCCGTACATTTGTTTCTTCTTGCTTTATGATTCCACTCACAGACTCCACAGGCAGAGCTGATAACACGGGGCTCTTTGTATTTAATATCCATAGGTAACTTTAAACTGGTATCAAACATCCCTAGTTTATTTCATGTTAACTTATTTCATGCTAACTTGTTAATTACCACCCACAAAATCGATTCTATTTTTGTGAGCAGGGGAAGGTTCTAATCAACCAATGGTATTGTGTCATAATCATAATCAGTGTAAAACAAACCTTTATCTGATTCAATAAAATTATTAACATAAATAACAATAATGTGTTCCCTGGTTTATGTTATTGCTTATTTAAAATGAGTGAATGAGTTTCTGATTTAAATATAAAACCTTCTGGTACTTCTGAAAACATTGTTTAATGGAATTTGACTTCGGTCCTGAGACGAAACAAATAAAAAAGTTATGATCTGGTGTGGGAAAAATTCCCCCAAAACAGATTACGTTTTACCAAAAATAATTCATTTTTTATTTTATTTTTTTAAATGTCTGACTCCCCCTCTGTGCCTGTTGCCAAAAACCAATGCTGTGAGCAGAAGACAATCAGATTAGTGTCATTCTTAATTACATTTTTAATTACTTTTCAAACCACACTGTTACAGCTTTAATGGTGTTAAAGTGAGCTGTCTGGTCGAGTAAATTTGCAGCAAATTATTCTTTCTTTTCAAAGTCTGAGGCCTTATTTGTTGGTACGCAACTCCACAGCAGAAAGCAGGAATATTTTGTATTCTGTAGAACTCACAAAATATCATCTATAATGCAGAAGTGGGTGATAGCATCAGCAACATAGCATCATTGTCTTTCTACTGTATCAGCTAGGCTAATTCAATGAGTTGTTGCTGATGAGCCATCACATCTCAGTGATCCAATGAGCGAACAGATGATGACTGGTCCATAATGACCAATGATAATCATCACAGAACATCGTTAACCTGGTAACCTGCCATAATGATTCTGCTGTTGTCTCTAAATACACTGCTCTCTTCCTGTTTGAAATAACACTACTAACCAGCTCCCACCACCACACTACCAGTAATATTAGTCATAACATTCTGTGAAATCAATCAGATTTAAGGTTTTGGCCAGAATTACAGGTGTTGTATATCTTGTATTTTCACCGTCCGTCCTCCTACAGTATTCATTGCTCGTGTACACGTTTGTCATTTACACACAATGTTGGAAAGAGTTTTCGTTTCACCGAAGCATCTAAAGTTTTAAATACAATCTCAACGGCGAGCGTGGGTTTGTGGAGGGTTAGCCTTCAGGTCAGACGCTCGGCTTGTGTCAGAGCAGGACATTCCTCATAACGGACAATTTCACACCATTAACACAAGTATTACACAGTGGGCATCAACATATTTAGTCCACTTTGGTCCAATCAAAGTAATTTTTTTATAGATTTTTATCTACAGAGCGCTGTATGTTTTCTTACTGCAGCGTGAGAAGTGATTTGAGTTTCCCCGGAAATGTCCACTGTAGATGTTCTGCCTGATCAAACTGTGCAGACTCACTGGAGAAAAAAACAAACCGACCAGAGCTTTGATTGCTCTTCGTGCCCTGACAGTGACTGTGTGTTTGTGTATGTTTGTAGGTCCCAGGGGTGTTAGCGTATCGATGAGAGCATGTATTTATTACTACAACATGGAGCACAGTGACACTGTGACCTAGATGTGACATCACATGCATCACAGTCCGACCAATACCAAATATAATGAATGGTGAAAAAGGTTTTCTTTGGTACTGTCAGTAGACATTTGATTTTATATGAAACCTATTTTTTTTCTTCTGGCTGTGATGTTAGTTGGTGTTAACAGCATTTTGTGCCTGATTTCGTATTATACAACAAGCGCTGTTGTGACCAAATGGTGTTTTGATGTAATTGGTAAAAAATACCATTATAGATTTAAAATTTGTGAAACGATGGCAGTAAAATGTTGAGAAACAAAAAAAAAAAGAAATTTGTGAAACGATGGTTTTGAAGGCAGTAAAATGTTGAGAAACAAAAACAAACATTTAAAACAATGACCTAAAAAACAGCTAAAGCTAGGACACGTGTTCTTCCCAGAGCATCAGCTACGTCCTTTTCTTTCTTGTTTCTTTTTTGCTGTCTTTGCATATTTGAACTGAACAAACGAGTGACTCCACAATCACCATCAATTATATGTCGCTTTTGAAAGACGCCTGCAGCTTCAAACCGATCTATAAACTATTACAATTGTGGACAGCTGCAGTTAGTGCATCTGGGCTGACCCTAAAACAAATGGGTGACAAATGCCGTCCTACCCAGGGTGATGTGCATGAACCAGGCCGGTGTTACAGCCTCAGGCAGCTGCATACTGTAGACAGTACCATGAAGAGTGAAGAGGCCCTGGTGAGCTACAGCATCCTCTTCACCACTGCAGCATCCTTTCAAAACACAGCCGTGCAGTTCAATGTGATGAGCTGTCAGGCAGGAAGAAAATACCCCTGCCGCCTGCTGCACATGCCTAATTACACAAAGACTACACTGGCTTCACCTGAAGAACAGGCGTCAACAGCTTAAACAACAAGTACAGCGAGTCTGCCGACAGGGAATTGGATAAACTTAGAGAAAATCCCTGATTGTAACACTTTCATTACTGTTATTTGTGAGGAAAAAATTGAATTCAGTATTCAACTAAATTATAATACAACATGGAAGGAACACCGAGAGACCATGCAACAATGTTTGTTTATGGATGTCATATTGTAGATAATCTCTCTACCCTGCAGGGGGAGCTAGGCTGCACATTTACAACATTACAACATTTGTGATTTAATGTAAATCCTCTCTCAAAATGCTCTTTTTGAGCCAACTGCTAACAGCCAGTAGCTTCATTGCACAGAGCAACTGTGGTGCTGTACACCTCCAACAGTTCTGAACCTCCACACCGACACTGTCCATGCTATCAGTTATAACATTGAGATTTTACTCCAACTCTGTTTATATTCTTTTTATATTCCACAGTTACAGAAGTAGAAATATTTTATAAAACAAATGGCAGACAACCCCATGGTTTCTGTGTGACTGACTTTATATCAATCTATGGATTTTTTTTTTTTTTTTAGGAAATTCCCACATACTACACATTTGCAGACAACAGAACTGTATACAATTTCACTAATGATGCATTTAATTGTTCTCTGTTAATCTCTATTCATTCACGTCATGATTCATAGTTGTTTTTCCCCCATTTTTCCAATGAGGTCCAACGAGGAGGGATTACACTGCACCAGCTTGGAAGTCGCCAGTTGATTTGGATTGGATTGGATTTGAAAGCATTTTCTGGTCCAATCCAGGCCTGATTGGAAATGCATGGAAATAAATATTTAATGTTCGACGCAACGTGAGCATACATGGTGTTGATGCACGACGATGAACATCCCCCCGGTGGACACTGGCTCCATCCCAGTCATGTTTAAAGGACTGGCTAATGCAGGCCATGCTCTGCCACTTCCGACCTACAGGCTACATGCTACACGATCGACTGAAACCAGTGCAGGCATTTCATTCGACCAAATAGCTGCAGTTACTGCGCGTTAACGGTGTGAGATGAGATTAAAACCGAGCACAATGCTTCTGACACGGCTGATGACGATGATGATGATGAACCTGACTCGAACCTACAGTACAGGCCCACAGTGATTCCCCAGCACTGCGATGGAAAGCCCGTGTAAAACCGGCTTTTCCTTCCTTACCGTGTGATCGATTTCCATCACGAGTTGCAGTCTGATGTCACAGAATGTGTGTCCATGATATGATCACCTCGGCATGTTTTTTTATCACTATACCTGATCGCTCCTCGTCTGTAACCTCAGCATCAGCAGCAGCCCCTACAATGAAGCAGTGATGGCCGGTGCTGATGATGCTGGGAGCCCCGCCCTCCTCAGCATGCAGCCGGGATGAGCTCACTGGTCTGTTTCCAGCAGGCAGACCGGCGGCTCCAGAACCGCTGCAGAGTCCAGACAGACAGAACCACTCACTGACTGACCACTGTTCCCACAGCACAGGAAGAAGGTTCTTAGAAGAACTCTGTCGATAGAAAAGCATTTCAGTCTTACCGATGGTATAGAATCCGCACAAATACATTGATAATTTATAAAATTATGTAAAATGGGCCCTCGCTGTTATCTTTTAATGTTTAGAATACAAGTTGATGAGTTTATCAGCCAATACATTTCTTTGTTTTCCAGTAGGGGGCAGTAATCTAAAACAAAGCAGAAAAATTGTAGCAAAAAATGTTGGCAGGAATTAACTAGACAAAATGTGTTGCTAGAATTTAAAAAGTTCAGCTGTTTAATCCATCCTGCCAAACCTTTCCAAATTATATAATTTATTTATATTATCATTATACTTCTGCCTTTTCCCTGTAATACCCACGTTTCCCCAATAGATGGCGTAGAAAACAATTGTGGCCCCACGAAACATGCCTGTGTTTATGAATTAAAGACCTGAAATTAATATCATATGATGAACATTAAGTGCAGCATAGTTAACGTCATTACACAGATGTGAAGGCACACAACAAAACAAGTGTTCCAGGCATTTTCAAATAATGTGGACGATGATCAATTAGTTAACAGTATGGAAGACGACCAAAGCCGGTTATCAGATCTACTCTTGTGTGTCTCTGGTGGGGAGGGGAGAGAGAGGGGAAGGGGTGGAGTGGGGGGGGTTATGGGCAGTCATTTGTCCGACTATAAGAACTGTTGTCAAGACTTGAGTCTCCTGATAGTCCTCTGCTCTTATTCACCTTCAGCTACAGAGTGAAGGCTGTCAAAGGGAATCGATGGCCACGAACGGTTTCAAGAATGAAACCTGTCTCACTACTGTGCCGCACAAATGCTCACAGAAACCAAAGGAGGTCAAAGGGCGCGGACACTGGGGATCCAAGACTGAGTTCATCCTGACTGTGATGGGAGCGATCATCGGACCTGGGAATGTCTGGAGGTTCCCTTACCTGTGCTACAGAAACGGAGGAGGTTGGTGATGTTTTTTGGGTTTTTTCTTCTCAACTCTGTTTCTGTATAATCAAATTTTAACCTCTTTTACAGGCGTGTTCTTCATCCCATACATCTTGTTTATATTTACGTGTGGAATCCCGTTATTCTTCATGGAGACGGCCTTGGGCCAGTTCACCACCCAGGGTGGAATCACTTGCTGGAAAAAGATTTGTCCTCTTTTTCAAGGTATGTGAAAACCTGTCTTCATCAGTGAAATAAATGAACATGAACAGAATCAATGTGAAGCCTGTTGTTGATTCAACAAGAACAACAAAACCTCCACTGATGTCTGATGTCATCTGTTTCCCCAGGCATTGGTTTTGCCAGTCACATGATCATTGCATTCAGTGCAACCTCCTACATTGTCATCATTGCATGGGCATTCTTTTACCTGTTCTTCTCCTTCAGGGCAGAACTGCCCTGGGCTACATGTGGAAATGACTGGAACACAGGTCGTTGTTGTTGTTGTTGTTGTTGTTGTTGTTGTTGAAAAGAACTTCTTTCCTTGTGGAAAATCCCTGAATGTTAAATAGAAATCCATATATTTCTTTTATCTAAAATGAAATATTTACATATTTGACTTAAATTATTTATTTTATTATTAGAATTGTTTCCTCTCCTTCCTCCTCCTAGACTCATGTGTGGACTTTAATCAAACAAACCGGAGTCTCATCCTGAACACTACACTTCCTGTTGTAGAGTTTTGGCAGTATGTATTTGGGCTTAAACTTCCATTTAAAGCCCTCCTGCTGGACTTTTATTTCTGTCTATGTCCCCCAACACTTACATGTTCTCCTCAGGCGCCGTGTTTTGAAAATCTCAGCTGGTATTGATGAGGTGGGCAGCTTGAGATGGGAGTTGGCCCTCTGTCTGATCCTGAGCTGGGTCGTCTGCTACTTCTGTGTCTGGAAAGGCATCAAGTCCACAGGAAAGGTGAGTGACAGTGACCCTGAACCATCACATGAACAACAAGACGTGAAACTAAACAGTAATGAAGTGGAATGCTCGTGATATTTTGTAAGTACAGCGTAAAACAGCATATCAAACCCCCGGTCTGGGGACCAGTGCCAGTCCATTGGTCATTTGGTACAGGGTCACAGTGGGAGACAGTAAAAAAATGTACTTCTGTTTTACTAATTTACTTAATTCAGAAAGAATCCAATCAGGTCTTTGTTACCACTGCCAAAATATGCTAAATAAATACTGGCTCATGATGAATCTAAAACTTTGTTTCCAGGCCGTCTATTTCACTGCCACCTTCCCCTTCATCACCCTGCTGGTTTTACTGGTGCGTGGCGTTACCCTCCCGGGGGCAATGGATGGAATCATTTACTATCTCTACCCGGATATCTCCCGTCTTTCAGATCCCCAGGTAAAGACATTTTAGGAAAGTCCTTAAATCCATAGAAGTAGTGCATGCACACACACATATATATACACGTAGATGTTTATATTTTTCAGGTTTGGATGGATGCAGGAACTCAAGTACTCTTTTCTTACGCCATCGGCCTGGGTTTCCTCACCTCCCTCGGCAGCTATAACACTTACAACAACGACTGCTACAGGTTAACAAAAGAAAAAAAAGAGTGCTGATGTCTACAGCACTGCCCAGTTGTGTCAAAATATTCTTATATATTTCATTATATACAATTTGAAAATACTGTAGTACACCCACATTCCTGTCTATGATTCTGAAAACATTTGATTCCATTTCAAACACATTCGTGTTTATTATCCTACTACTTCACTCCTTCAACAGTTATCTGCCATTTTCTTTTTAGTCAATCAAATTTCTCTTTTCGCCGCTCAGGGACTCGTTTTTCCTGTGCCTGCTCAATAGCGCCACCAGTGTTGTGGCAGGCTTTGCAATTTTCTCTGTCTTGGGATTTATGATGTATGAACAAGGAGTGCACATAGCTGAAGTGGCAGAATCTGGTATGTACTGAAATTTAACATGCTTACCTTAGGTAGTTGTTTTCAATTAACTTCTTCTTCATCATCATCATCATCATCATCAATTTCTAAACCAGTTACCTAAGTAAGGACAGGACTAATGTTTGACAGTGAAAATACTGAAGGACATTTCTATGCCAGCAAAGGATATTTGGATAAATGCAATATGCAACGTCACCACTAGAAGCCACTGTCCTACACACTGCTCCAAAAGGTAGTTACACTGTGTGTGTGTTTTTTATTTTTTTTTGTGATGTCGTCTGTGAATGTGTGTGTAGGGCCAGGTCTGGCCTTCATCGTCTACCCTCGTGCAGTGGCCATGATGCCCATGCCTCAGGTGTGGTCAGTGTGTTTCTTCATCATGATTATTCTGCTTGGACTGGATAGTCAGGTATCCATACAGTCGTATGACTGAACTACTGATCTTTATTTTTGTTTATACTGAATCTTTAACATTCTCACTCACTCTTTGCAGTTCGTTGGCCTGGAGTGTCTGATGACATCAATCGTTGATCTCTTCCCAAATCACTTGAACCGGGGTTTTCGTCGTGAGCTCGTTCTGCTGGCTATCTGCTTTACCGGCTGTGTTTTGGGATTTTCACTGGTCACTGAGGTCTGTAGTATACAGTTCCAAACCTAAAGATGAAACAAACAAAATTTGTTTTACTTGGTCAGGGTTAAACTGTCAGCTGCTACAGTACTATGGTTCTGTTGTACTGTAACTTTGAACAGTGACAAAAGTGAATCAATCAATTAAATATGTTGCTTTTATCTCTCTGATGATTTAAATGTGCACTGACCATGAACCATGACCCACATATACCAGCAACAGTTTGATTTCAGTCTGTCACATTTATTATTTTTAATTTTCACAAATATAGTGACCATATACTGTATAAGTAGTTGTGCTGCCTTGTTGAAGATTACTGGTTTTCTCCAGGCAGTTTGATCAAATGACAAACATTATTTGCAAATGTTATGCCTTAATTGTATTTGAAGGGACATTTCACATGCATTCTTTGGACTGGAGTTCTGGAAAATTCTGAGAGCTTTTGATATTATTCTTTTTCTCTGCGTACAAAACCATCAGTTATTACATCAATACACAGAAACAATCATCTAAGAAGGATGTGGATGTGTTGCAGATCACTGTATGATATTCAAAGCTTTCACCATGTTCTAGGGAGGTATGTACCTGCTCCAGCTGTTGGACCACCATGTGTGCAGTGGCAGTACCCTCCTCCTCCTCTCTTTCTGTCAGTCTGTCAGCATCGCCTGGGTCTACGGTGAGCAGCACCCGTTACAGTAGCTGCAATTAGAAAAAAACAAGAGCCTGTTGACAGGGATGCAGATTTTATAATAATAAAAAAAACTGTTTTCTCCAAAGGTGCAAACCGCTTTTATGATGACATCACGGACATGATCGGTTATCGCCCATACTCAATAATGAAATACTGCTGGTGCTTTGTTACTCCCTTCGTCCTTTTTGTAAGTTCTGACAGTGATTGTCACTTTTCTCCTCCTCTCAGTTTGGTCCCATCATTGTTTTTAGCCTCTGTATCAGGAGATGTCTCTCGTTCACCCGTCACATTTTGACAGTTCTACTCTTTTCACAGGGCACTTTTGTCTTCTCTGCAGCCAGATACTCCCCGCTGAAGTTCAGCAACTCATATGTTTATCCACTCTGGGCCAACATCATGGGCTGGTTCATTGCCACCATCTCCCTTTCTCTGATACCACTATTTGTAGTTTACAAAGTGATGCAGAGAAAGGGTTCTCTTAAGCAGGTGAGCATGTCCTCTTTGTGGGACGAATAAGGGACTCGATTATTGGTACTATTATTATTATTATTATTACATTGTTACAAGTGTAATTTATGTCGTTTTTTCTTTAGCGTTTCCTGCAGCTCTGCCAACCTGAGGATGACCTTTCCTCCGATCAAATATGCCTCCCCCCGGTGTTGACCACAAAGCTCAGTCGGTAAGAAGTGGTCAAAATTTTGACCTCTGACTCGTAGTACTTAGTGTTTTCTGCATCACCTTTTTTTTCTTTTCACTCCTGAGAACTACTGACTCGTAGTACTTAGTGATTTCTGCATCACCTTTTTTTTCTTTTCATACGACAGATTGCTCCTTTATCTCAAAATATTTCAAATGGTAATTTTTGTTTTTTGTTAAACATATATTTTTTCAATTTCTATGAGGTACCTTTTGGTATAGAGTGGGGGGAAGAGAAATGTCATTTTCTTAATTTGTCTCACTGTTTTGTAGTTGTATTTTCTTTGTTCAACTTTTACTTTAGCTTTTAAGTCTCACTATAGAGTATGTCATCAATTGTAATTGCCACAACTTGAAGAAACCCAGACCAAACATTTGCAATTAATGTTAATTTTGTATTTTTTTTCAGTGCTAACTGTTTTATACCCCTTTGACAATAAATTGCTTCTGTTCAACTAAAGAATCTTTTGCAATATCTACAAAAGGAAGAAAAAGAAAATGAGGGAATAGGCATTAGGAATAGGATTTTTTTTCTTCAAAAAACGACATTTCCCATTGACCGGTCGGTGACGCTTTGTAGAGTGCATGTTTTAGAAGACGGATCGTTTGATAATTTGTACCTATAATACCCAGTAAAAATACAACACACCTCAACATGTTGAAGGACGGCTATGAGAGGTGAAATCCAACATATTAGGATTGTTCATACGAGTTATTTCACTGATCATTCGACTGACTTGTTTCTTGTTTCTTAAGCAAATCATTTTGATGTTTCTCAGTAATCACGCTTAAGACTTTATCTGACAAAACAACAGAGAAAGATGCAGGGGTGGCTGGTGTAACAATTATTAGTTAATTTACACCCGCTCCACGTGGTTTGGCATGAATTTAGGGTCATGCTAATTGAAATGTTGAGATAATATTAGGTCAGTTTGCTAGATCATTCTGATGAGGGTTAAATAACGCCATGTAAGCAAAAAGCACAAGTCAAATTTATGACAAGTCATTGTTTATTGACCATGTTGCCATCCGGTAGACAGCACACAACGTGACAACATAATAATTTAAACACTATATAAATAGAAATGTTCTGGAGATGTTTTGAACAATTTAATCTCATGTCTGGAGAATGCATTTAAACATATGAATTCAGCACTGTGGATTAATTTAAAAAAAAACCCAACAAACTAGTAAAAAAAATAAGGGTAAGGTCAGATTTTCTGAGCATTTTGTCCTGATAACCAAAATGATGATCATCTATTTAATAATCTTAAAAACTACAATCTCTAATCACCTTGCCAAAATTCTTTTTGTTTAAATGAGAGAATCTTCACAGTCGATATTTTGTCATACTTATTAAGAAGATAGCGTGGAAATAGTAAGACTAATAGCTGAGATGCACATTAAAAAAAAAAGACAAAAAAGAAAAGGAAAAATGAACCAGATCTTAATTGTGCAGACTGCAGAGGAAGTGAGCAGTAACTGGAGTGTTGTAGAATGTTAAAAGGTAAACTAGTGAAATAGATTTAAGACCATGGGGATTTTGTATGTTTGACTTTTCACTGGTGTTCAGTCCACTTCTGTCAGGCCACACGGTCTCAAGAACTCTTGTCCTCTCTCATGAATCCACTTGTTTGACACTGAGAAAATAACAATAAAGGACACAATATAAGACAGATGAGAGACAGGTAGATTGTGAGATATAATCAATAACCATAATCAATATAGTAATAGTCATGAACACACAAACACAAAAGCAACAGCAGGACACTCATTGCACGCTGGAATAATAGACTGAAGGTGAGTCCTGTTTCACTCACCCCATTTACTTCCTACTAAGACTGGACAGGCTGCATGTCTTGTTCGATAGTCTCCCTCCCCACTTCTGAATAGGTTGTACCAAAAAACTGCTGTCCCCTGTGAAAAAGGTTGTAAAGTGACATGATTACAAAAAAGGTGGTAAAAAAAATGCAATCTAAAGACCACTAAAGGCAAAACTGTTAATCTCACCTTTCTGGGTCTGATTGCTGCTCCAAAGTCAGGGAAGACAGTAGCGCCCCCTGCCTCAACGTCACTCATCTGGCAAAAGAAACAACTAACTGTTTAGAATGACCTCATAAGTACATATTAAGAACAACTGTGAATTTTTTGGACATTAATAATTCTATGAGCAAAACTTAACATAACACAAGAAAAGTGAAAGAGAACTACAGATCTGCACCACACCAGAGAAATGGTGTCCATATAAGAAGTAATACTACTATGAGGGTAAATATAATTTTACAACAACAAAGAATAGAAGATGGACAGTCACCCTTTTCCACAAGAATTCAAAGAGTCAGAAAGATGCTGGTAAATGCAGAACAGTTAGAGTTGTTAAGCAGAACTCAAGTAAAAAACGTAAGCAATTAAACTATGATAATCCTATAAACTAACCCTTTATGTGTTTCACATACAGAGCAGACTATAAAACATCATGAAATCCATTCCTTTTATACCCAACTTTCATTTCATTACAGAACCATAGAGCCATAATAAAGATGTTAAATGGGAATGGCCAACAAAACTCTCTACAACATGTACTGGAACTGATTGACAAGTCTCAGTTTTTACTGCCTTTATTAAGTGGAAATTAAAACAGCATTGTTTTTAAAATGATGTTGAACTGCCCCATCAAAGAACTCCAGAGGTCAAACAATAGATCTGGACATGCCAAACAAGGGCGTCAAAGTCAATCAATCCAAGTCCAAGATTGAACCAGAGCTCATGCCCATGAAGTGAATTACAGGCGTGTTAACAGCTCAGGCTTTCAGTCAATAGAAACCCGATGCACATACTTACGTAGTTCAACAAAGTTGCCATACGATTTCCAGTGCCTAATCTTTTGAAGGCATCTGGCTCATCTTTCTATAAGGATAGAATTCACAAGTGAAACACATTAAACACACAGACCCACACACATGTACTTACATAGTTTAGGAACGTAGCAAGTCTATTTCCATCAACCTTGAGGTTGCTGTCAAATGGACGCTGCAACAGACGTATATAACATTTAAGCCAAGACCAAAAAGACTTCCTGTGATGAGGCCACAATTCTAGGCATTAACTTTGGTTCTTCATCAGACTTAAATTATTGTCACTGTTATAAAGTTTATTAAAGAGTGTCATTTATGTATATATGTATACATGAAATGAAAATGAATTTTTCATTTCATGTGTTTTATATTGTAAAGTTAACTAACAAAAAGAACACTAACAGACAAACCATTTTTTCAATGGACAATAACACGATGGGACTTGAGCTTTAACTCACCCTGGAAAAGTCAAAATGTGGCTCATACTGTCCTCCAACTCCGTAATTTGCAACCTGTAGACAAAAATAATTTCAAAAAGTCTGTACTACTTTTCTTCTTTGTGAATGTTTCTAGAATCTCAACTGTTGCAATATTATTATATTTTTACAACTTTTGAACCCAGTCTCCTATCATTATTTAGTATAGTATTTTTATAGTATATTTGTTATAGACTATTTCAGCAATTTCCCATTAGGGGTTAATTTAGCATTTCTGATTCTGATTATACTTAAGAATATAGATACATTAGGCAAAACTGAGGTAATAAAATGTGCAATTTTGTACTTGTAGTAACTCTGCAGTTTCGACTGTGAGTCCTGTTAGGTCCTGTATTCTCTGATTGACTCTGGCAATGACAGGATCGTCTTCTCCCTCTAACCATGCACTGAGAAATAAAGAGAAAGAGGAAGAGACAGAGGAATCATTGGAATGTCCTGTTTGTCTCCAAAATTGATTACGGTTACTTGAATGAAAAAAAGAAACATCTGTTATAATAACTGAACACCACTAGAGGGCAGCCAATGACCATTTCCCTTCTTGAAGTTACCTTTTAGACACCCTGTAGTTAGCTGTGGTCAGGACTCCCGTTTTAGGATCACGAACAGTAGCCCTGGCAAGCTTTAAAGGAGAGATAAGTGAATATTTCTATTTGTTTTATTGTCTTACATCTGAAACCAACTGAGTATAACAGATATGCAAACATGTTTACAGCGTCATCAAATGTTTTTTGAAAGGAATCGTCTTACTGAAATAAAAATTGGATCTGATATTTACCTTTGCACTTTTATGTCTTACCCTGGGTTTAGCCAGTTCCTTTATTGTTTCTATCTCCTCATCTGAAAGGAAGCTAAGGTAGCGTACAATGCGGGGACTGTCCCACTCATCCTCCTCCTTCACTGAGCAAGAGAAGAGGATTATGGTTCCCGTCCCTGTAGCGACAGGACAAGCGACTGCGCCTGGCTTCGGTCTGTCAAAATACAAAAGGTGTGTATGAACACATATATATATATAAAACCCACATTTTAGTTAATTAATTATGAATGTGCTAATATTCCATTTTCTTTACCTTTAATGTACTGTACCAGTATTTACACAAAATGTGCAATTACTGGTACAGTAGAATGGATCTTATAACTTTTACTTTTGTTGCTTTTTTATATTTTTGACATCTCACCAGTTGGACACCCTCTCCTCTGCACAGAGCTTCATAGATCTCTCTCTCAGGGAGGTGGTCTTGGGGTCTGGAGTAAGTTCCCAGCTGAATGGGTTCTTCAGATGCAGGCTGGTAAGACTGGTTCTGTTCTGTGAGCTGCTTGGACAGTAACCGTTCATAATAGCGAAGGTTTCCTCCTGCCCTGTCATGGCTGGAATCTGTCAGTTCAAAGAAAAGTACTGCTGTTAAGTGACAAGTAGGCTGATCCGTTTTCTCAACACTGTAAACATAAACCAGATATAAATAATTGACACTTCTTGTATAAATATACAAGTGTCATAATGTTGAAGTAATTTCAGTTTAGTTTAGTTTACGTTAGTTTTGTTCTGTTTACTTTAGTTCAGTAAAATATCAACTAGAAATGAAGCTCAGGTTTTAGTGAAATTATTTTTAACTATATCAAGTATACTTTTATCAATCTCACTGTACTTACATTTCAACATTAGCTAAGAAATTCCTCTATATGAATAAAATAATATTAGGAATTGCTTCCTTCAGTTGTGGGCTCATACCACCTGATCCATCTTCCCTACTTCAACTTATTTTTTTTAACAAGTCCACAGTCGAACCACAGCTTTGTAGACTGTCTGCAGCAGTCAATGCAGCTCTCCTGATGCAGAAACTAAAATAACAGTTGAAAAACCACTGGCTCTCACTCTTTTGGGACAACACCCTGCCGCTCTGGTAACCACTGCAGCAAGGAGAGAGTGGATTGTAGTGAGAAGTAAAACAGCAAGAAGACAACCTATGAATTAACCCCCTGTGGTGAACTGTGGTCATGAAGCTCACTTAACTGTTGTCTATATGATAAAGACCGGAAAAACACACCAGTGCTTCTTTACACACATTAAATGTGTTATTGTAGTTTTTGTTAAATTTTGAAACCATAAACCACTGATCTATTGGTTAATCTGTAAGAAAGTTAAATTACCAAGCCCAAGCTTATCTTGAATGCAGTGCTGAGCTGCAGTATTCAAGTGTACTTTATTTTTAAAAATAAAAATAAACAAGCTTTGACTGCTTTTTGAACAAGTCTGGCGTTGTTTCCTTTTACCATTGTTTGTGAAACTGGAAAAACAAATTGGAAATTCTGTCATGAACTGGAGGACAATGTGCAGTGATTTGTTATCTTGAGTTCTCTGTGTACTGTGTTTTTATAAGCACATGAGTTTGTGCTCACACTTGTCTCAGCTCCACCTTACCTACTGCCACCAGCCGTCTGGTCAGCTCAATGGCTCGAGGCAGGTCACCCATTTGGTAAACAGAGTAGCTGAGGTAATCCAAAATATCCGCCTTGGAAACCACAGAATCCTCGCCAGCATCCAGCTGCTTTAAGGACTGCTGCATCCACAGCACAGCGTGATAATAATCAGCTTCGTTGTAGGCTGTTTTCCCCATATCAAAGCAGTCGTCAACTGTTAACATGGCACTGGAGTGTACGCCTGTGGGGGGGATAAGAGGGTGAGGGGGGCAATTTCATATAGTGAATGTGTTGGTAAATTCACAGGAAGAATAATATAGTAGTGTTGGGTTGAAGCTAATTTCTTCACGTTTATCCAAATCATTCTATTGTCCTTGAAGTAAAGACTAAACTTTACAGAGTCAGTCCTGTGTGGCGGACCTGAAATGGTTGAATAATTGTAGCCTTAACCTTACGTCAGATCATTCATTATCCCTGCCCGATCTAAAAAAAAGAAAATCACTTACACTTAATTCCAACCACACCCTATCCAAGAAATGTCCAAAGTTAAGGCTGCACCCACAACGGCAGGGCACAAATTCAGCAGGGCACAAATTCAACCAAATTCATTTAAATTTCAATCTTTTCATCATTTAACCCTGCAATGCATGGAGAGCCAAATTCATTTAAATTTCAATATTTTCATCATTTAACCCTGCAATGCATGTTATTTTACTTCCACTGAGAAGAACTGCTGAGTTCTATAAAAATGAGTTTAAACCTTTAACAAGTCTCCTCCACAGTTAAGTATTCCAGTTTGAAAAGTTTTTCTATAAAATACAGCAGTAACTGTAGAGAATATTACAACATCGGTTGATTTATAATCTCTGCACAGCTTTTTGTAATAAAGAAATACTTTTTATTTTTACATAAATCACTGCAGCGTCCAATGTTACCTGGCAGCTTCCCCCGTGAGAAGGCTTCAGAATCCAGTTGGTACGTGTCCTGAAGACGCATCAATGCCTTGGCTGCACCTGTTTCATCTTCCTTATCTGGGAAGTACTGTCTGTGCATGGACATGTTGGAAATGAATCCTGAGAAAAAAAACAGGAAAAGATGTTGCTGTAAATGTGAGGAAAAAGAGAATTATATGGTGTAAACTATGGCCTTGTACTAAATTATCCAGATTTTAAGGCCCTTGCAAAGTTTTCTAGATTTGGCCACATGTTCTTCTATGCTCTGTGACACCAATCATTAAATTGTTTTTATTACATCCCTTATAACTAAAACCACCTTCCTTCTTATTGTTATTACTTTTTTTTTCTTTTGACGCTGCAGATGAATTAAGAAAAAAGAAATCTGTAGCAGCAGTTGTTGCACATGTGTGACATGGTCTTAGGCTATTTCCCCACAGTCAGCACAAACGTTGCTGCTGCAGCAGTTCTATCTCCAGACTTCTTTGTGACTACTGTTATGCCTTCACACAGACATCTGATGAATATTATCTCCTAGCATGTAATATTGGTGACTAACAAACACTAAGAACAGTAAAAAAGTTGTGGTTTCATTTTTCATTGAACATGGAGTCAGATTTCACCATCTGTTCACTTGGCTTCATCACAAATGCTCGAGGGGAGGGTTTTATTACCTTGTTTCTATATTCGTACATACTTATTCAGGGGAAGCATCTTAAGACATAAATTACTTTTTCTCAGTGACAGTTCACTCACATTCTTACCACCAGGTATTGTGCATATTCCAATCACGTCAAGTCTGTAGATGAAAATGTGGATCAAGCATATCCAAAATCTTGACACAATGTTCAATCTCTTTATGTAAACATCTGGTCTCTAATCTCCATCTGCCTCTCCAACTCATAGCCATGTGTACAGATTCAGAAGTAACAGCACACACCGGTAAAGCATTTGTCTGCCTCACAGATATCTGCTAGAATAAACATTCGAACACTCCTAGATCCAAACACACACAGACACAGAACATGGCCAAGTTCTGTGGAAATGAGAAACAGCTGCAGCTCCAACATGACAGCCTTTGAGGAGCAGCAGAATTTTATTAAAACCTTCAAGTGAAATGTTAAATGCGGTTATCCTATATGTTAGAACATTGTCATTTAAGAAAAAAAAAAGTCTGTCTTTTTTTTTTTTTTTTTACCATCAGAAGGGTTCTGAAGCACCAGACTCTCCACTTCAGACCACTCTGTATTGAGTCTCTTCATCAGTTTGTAAGCATTGACTGGATGGGCCAGATATCCCTCTGGATCAGATGTGGACATTCTGGTCAGAGTGTCCAGTTTGTTGGCCCAGCTGTGAGACAGACAATGTAAGACATGCTGAATGGTCAGATAATCTCTCAAGAGCCTACTCGTTTGTTGTTAATGAAACAAAAAAGTTTAACATTAACAAACAGCTGTGTTAATTTGTGTTTTACAAACATTTTTGAAGAATGTGCTTCTTATGTTTCAGTGGAACTACCGACAGAAACTTAAATATTTCAAATTTAGATTTGTGAAGCAAGAAGTTCACAAACAAGCTTGGATACCTTTAACTGAGCAAAGTACTCAAAGACTTTGTTGCAATTGTAAGTCTCACGTATTATAATTTACCTCTTAATTGCAGCCAATTTGGACTCCTCTGCTTTTATATACTCCCTCAGAGACTGGACCAGCTCTTTTTCTGTGTAGACCAAGTCTGTCATTTGACCTTCAGGGACAAGGACACAGACAAAGTTGATGAGTATATTCATCTTGTTTAAGTATTTTTGTATTTCCAAAAATAAGAAAGAAAGTGAATTAACTTCATTAACTTCATTAACAAATGTTACTATCTTTATTTGATCATAAATGAATCAATTAAAAGTGTTTCTAGACGTCCCAGACTTACTCCTGAGTCACTGACTCTCTCAGGGTCTTAGTGTTTTCTTCCATGTGGATGTGGTTGGAGTGTATTATTCGAGTAAACATCTCCATGGAGATATTCAGCCCTGAATAATTCACAGGGGTTGCCAAGAAAGAAGGACAATAAATCACTTATATTGTTTCTGCAACCACAGGATCTGAAATAAAGAGAATCAGTGCAGCTGAAGTCTCTTGTGTGACACTGCCTGTTAAGTGACGTCAATGTACCCATGTACATGTGTAAACCAGTGGTCGCAGTCCTCACAAGCAAGAAGATAAGCCACACCAAAGAACAAAAAAAAACTATTTAAGTGTTTTGTTCTTCCTTGTAAAATGTAGTTGGTGCTTGAGGTTTACTTGCTCACTGCAGAGGAAAAGTAAGTGAACAGAAAAGTACAACTAGATTTTCCACGAGGTAGCTGTGTGCCTGTGCCAGTGAGTGAAGTCACAGGAACTTTAGTTCACCCCATCACCTCATTTGTTCCTGTGTTGTGGAAATATTTTTACATCAAAAAAAGTCTCGAACTTAGGAGACATTTGAATATACATAAATGACAATGCTTGTGTTTAATTATAATATTATTAGAGAATTGAAGAAAGAACAATTACAGAAAACAAATTGGAACAGTATCTTTTTAAATTAGATTGTCAGTCAAGTCTCCCTTTGTCTCCCATTAGTTATTAAGTTAAACCTTGAACCAAACAAAGAATTTTGCAAACATGATATGTTTGAGAGGAGAAAAATGTGAAATTATCTATGTAGAAAAAAATGTGGAGTAAATATTAACCCACCTATAGAAGTGAAAATCTCTGCCTGTGTCATGGAGCAGTAGCAGGAGAGCAGAGCCCAGCAAAAGGCAGAAAGCAATCTCACCATTTCGCCTCCCTGTAATGAGAAAGATTATCGTGTGCTGTCATGACAGGCCACAGTCTTGAGTGAATCAGAAAACATTATATCATTAAAAAATACCTATTTCCTGCTGCCAGTTTGCAAATGTTACGTTAGCTAATCGACTGTTACTTGTTCAGTCCTGACCCTTCATTCACTAGTGTAGTTTAGCTCTGTTTGGACAGTGTTCCAAAGAATCACGTGAGCAAAACACAAATAGAATTCCCTGTTGCCAGTGACTGAGATTTGCTGCATGTTGGACCATATTTTACATCACAGAGTCCTTTACAGAACACTGAGGTCACCAAATGGTAGCGGTGGCGCTGCTCTCAACTTAAGGACTCTTTCCTAACAGCGTGGCACTGGAGGCAGGTTTGTTTGGTGATGACTTTACTTTACCCCCCTGGCTTTCTCTTCATCTGCTCTGCCACATCACACACTCGACTGTAATGATGGCTTACAGCCGACTGTGTACGTGTACACACAGCCCTCACAATGTCATTACAGCATGAATCAGTCATCATGTCATCAATGGCTTAGTGAAAAGGAGCAATGCAACTTTCTCCAAGTGCAGAAAAAAGTGCCTTTAAGCCATATTACTAAAGTTTATTTATTTATCACAAATGGTAACCAGAAATGGAGCAAAGATCCAAGACATTAAGTTTACTGTTGACGAGTCAATAGAAATCCTGCTCCGTTACACTCTCACTTCCTCAGCTACAGCCCTGTACTGACTTGTTCTATGTTGTCAGCAAGTTACAAGGAGGAAAAATCTACTGCATAGTTCACAAATGAAGAAACAGAGAATGAAAGGTTAAGAAAAAACAAGAAGGTAAAAATCAAAGGGGAAAACTTAAGTTGAAAGTGTAGCTTTCATTTACTTTAAGACATCAAAAATAGACAAAGCTGGAAAAATTAATTTTAAACAGTGATATGCTTTAGTGTTCTTCTCTCAGGGCATATGGATTTATCTTTGTTAAATTAACACACCAAGCACTGAAACAACCAAAACTTTCTTGTTTTTAATACATTACTCTCTAGTAATTTATAGCCTATATAACTGACCAGCCTAAAACACAGCCTTGCTTGTTGTTGCAGGCTGTAACACTCATGTCACATTCCTGGAAGCAGGCCTGTTACATTTTTTACCCAACGTTCCCAACTCTTGACCCTTCCCATTTCGCAAATGTTGGGGTAAAGCCCAGAGGTTAGGTCATCGAAGGCCACAAAGGAATGATCAAACAAGTGGTACTTTTCTTTAAATAAAGAAAAAGTTTTAGTATATTCACTTGATCAGTTGAAGATTTTTCTACTATTCCATTTTTTAAAAGTAATGTCTTCACGATTTTCTTTTTCTTTTTTGCAAAACATCATATTTTCCATGATATTTATTTTAACATTTAATGGCTTGTACAGAGAGATAAAGCTCTAGAGAAATGCACTCCCTTGCCACAGGCGCTGACCCAACGACAGTAATAGAGCAGATGTGTCTAATCCCGTTTCTCTACTGGATCGCACAGGACAAATCTGCAAAACAACAACGTGGCTTGTCAATTTATCATGTCTGGCTCACATCACATCCAAGTGGAGAAGGTGATGAATCTTTTAGGGATTTATACTTTAAATAAAGGGATCAAAACAAACTACAAAGACAAGATATTTGTGTGTTGTTAATTATACTTAAACTGGCACAAAGAAGCAAAGAGAATTTGATCCAGAGATGAGTGTTGGCAAATCCAAAAGCAACAGATGACTACTATAAAAAAAAAACAATTTCCCCCAAATTTCATGAACAATTGCAGGACATTTTATACAAAGTAACAAACCATTCTAGAGCTAGCAGACAAAACATCTGCTGAAAGTGCGGATGTGAGGAAAATGTTCTCATAGTTATCATTATCATTTCATGGTACATCATCCTGCAGCAAATCTGCAGGATGATCAAGAACATGCTCCAAAAGCAACAAGCAGGAGGCAACAAATGGAACGTCTCTGGGAGCCAGAAAACGATCAATAGTTTAAATCAAATTGACAATTATTTTTAATAAGAAAATAAAAGCAGGGATACCAGGGCCTCATTACAAAAAAAGATTAGAATTTGTTTGGCAAGGAATCACAAGAGAAGACAAGGTCAAATAGTGAAATATCCATTAACCTCAGACTTGTAACTTGTATGTGAAAGACTTACACCAACAAACCAAACATTACTGGATTCATTTACTGAACCTTATTATGATGTCCTAAAATAAATTATGCTTTCTACAAGGTATTGTAATTCAAACATTAATATGCTTTTAATTTCCCATAAATAACCAGAAAATATATACCCGTCTTCTAAATGGTTTAACTTAAAATTTGATTAAGTAAATCATTTTCTATGCAAAAAAAATCTATATTGATAAACACACACTAATAGATTCTAACATGGTTCTGCAGCATTTTTCTAAATGCTATTCGGACAATAGAATAAGAGTTATACAAAAAGATATTCCATATGCCTTTGCATTCTTCAAAGTCTAAAAATTATTATTTTGATATTGAGAAGTTATGTCAATAATGTGAGAATTATTTTTTAATTTAAGCACAGTATTTCACATTGACATTGTTAGGAGTTTTAGTTTTTAATGTTTTACAAAGAAAATATAAGCAGATATTTTTATGCATTGTAAGTGAAGTTGAGTTTGATTTTTACTCTGACTCTGAATTAGGGATGAAGGTAGTATTATATAGCAACGGTCAGAGAATTGCTTCTGGCCTTGATTCATTCTTTCTCTACAGAAGGAGCAAACCTTTTCAGAAATCTTTAGCTGAAGAGAAAGGAAAGTGTGGTGATCTTGGATCACTGCAAAATACTAATAAAAGACTTACATAACTTAACATTAACCACATTTTCTTGACAAATAAAATCTGTCCTGAACTCTGCCCCTAATCCTTAATCCATGAAAAACCAAGTTGCTGTTTTGAAAGGGTTGTGCAAGTTTTGCTCTCTGCCAAAAGGCAAAAAGGGGAATACCAAAAATATTTATTATTGTCAACGTTAAAAATGTGCAATGAATTATGGTCTTTTGACGATTCAAACTACAATGTAGAAAACGAGTAAGAGTCCAAGCCTGTAGTTTCTGACACGGTGCCTGTTCGCCATACCCACTATGCTCATCGGCCAGTGACGTCACTACAGTTGTTTCTAGAAATTCCCAACGCTGGATGTTGAGTTGAGTCCACCGACCCGCGTGTAGCAAGCATTAACACCCTCACTTAATGCAAAACATACAGAATAATTCAATTTTACACACTTTCACACTTTCTCAAAATTTAAACATTTTCTTTACACCTTAATGATTAAGTTCAACATAACTGTTAACGCCGAGGTCTCGTCAACTCTCTCGCTTCTGTTACTAACAGGACAGAAATAAACAGACCTCGTCACACACTTGTTAGCCAATGCTAAATAGAGTTACACGTGCCGAAATCCACAATTTCTCTTAAACTACTAAAAAATAATCTAAAGCCCCGTTATTGATAAACATTCCAGCATGTTCAACAGGCACCCGACCACAACGTTTCAGCCCCTTTTACTATAGTCAAGAGTAGCTTTAATGGCTAATGACATAAAGTGTTCCATTTTATCCTACCTTATTTTTTTACGAACTTTGAAGAGGAACTCCACTGCACGGTGTCAATACACAGTAACACCAAAAACTCTGGCGTTATGGACAGGACTTAGAGGGATTTTAGACGCTGCCACGTACAGAACCTCCTGCAGAACTGACCTAATGCTCAAAGTAGAGGCGCAGCGACATTCCTCCTGCCTTTCGCCGTGTTGCATTCACGGACATCTCGTATGTCCGTATGTTTACACTTAAAATTGCAGACCTGCTAAACCTATATCGTACGATGTGTGCATTAACTTCATTTTTTTATTAGTAGTATTAACTAATGGTGCATTTAGGATAAGTGGATAATGTTCGTTATCCAGCTACACTTTAATTAATAACCATAATAAACACCTGAACTGATGATGAATTATAGTGAATGACCTGCGATGGATGCACAGGATGAAGTGTACAAGAAAGGGTTCGCAATAAAAATGATAAAATATGAGTATGCAGTAATTTACCGCTAGATCAGTTAGATCTGATCGCTAGAATTAACCTTTATTAGCGCTCATCTATAAAATAAATCAAGACCCGCTAGAATTAACCTTTATTAGCGCTCAAACCGTAGTCTCCAGAACAAAATGTAAATGTACAGATGATAAGGTTAAACCTACAATGTACCATTACAGCGTGGGTTTAAGGAAGTCATTCATTACGCCCAAACGATCTTTTAGGATAGTTACGGTGAAATCGTCCATGCAGTTGGTCACGTTTACCGTTTACATGTGGATTTCCAGAGCTTTCCCCCCTCCTGGACCGGACAGCAGATGTTGATCAAAGTTGTTTGAGACCAATTATAAAATATACTCTACAGAAAGTGTCATAATTTGGATTATGTAAGTCCAACGTTTTTATTATTTAGATAAATCAATTTAAAAAATGCAACCTACAAGTATGCATGACATAAAAACATTTTTTAAATGGAAATGACCAGGATTAGTGCAACAAGATTGTTATCAAGGAAAGGGGGTGCAGAAAATTGTTTAACACATAAAGCCAAGAAAGTAGCAACCCACTCGGTGAAACACTTGATAAATGCAATATTGCATCATTCATTATATATGATAACACTGAAATATATAATGGAAAAATATTGATTTCAACTTAAAGATTAATTCCTAGTTACACAATATATGAGATTAATTTACACATGAGTCATTTGTTATTAATTTAACTTTGACACCACTATATAATTGTTTGTTGGTGTATAATATTGTCATTTCTATATTATAAAAAATGTACCTATTAATGCCATAATACATTTCACTATCTGTGGGAATATTCGGGTTTCTGTATTAAGACATTGGGAATTGTTTTATTGATAGTGGTTGTATAGCGGAATAGCCACACGACGGCAGTGTTGATTGCTAAAGCAATATGTGCTGTAAGCATAGACTCGGCAACCTCCAAGAGCTGTAGACTAAAAACTTATAGCACTCTTAACATAGTCATGATCATCACAAAACGTTTCTTTTTTTAGGACAAATCTTTAACATGTGTCAAACAATATAACATTTGATTACTGTTTTGGAAAGTACTACAATACTACAGTACAAGAAATAAGTACTTTTTTGTGATTTTTGTCCCTGTTAAAGTAATAGGCTATTGTATGACCTTGGTTGACTTTACGGTTTGTTTTATGGTTTGACAGTTGTTAGCAGGCCCCGACAGTTCTGCAGTTTTATTTTCACAATATTGTATACATTTTCACAATTTTAATATTTTTTTTACATAAGCGTGGGCAACAGGATTGGTATTAAAAATAATGATAAACTTTCCTTCATCAACCTTATGATGTCAAGCGTAAAAAAATGTCATTATTTACTGTGATGATTTTGGAATTTCGAATCAATATTTTTTACTTCTTACTTTGACCAGCAGATGTCACTCGTTGCCTGTTGTACAATTCACATCGAAAGCCTTTGGTATCAGGCATGTGATTAATCAGACGAACTCTCACGATGAAGTGTTTGGGTCGATTATTTCATCGAGCTCGGCATGCAGAGGCCTGTGCCGCAGTACAACAGGATATAATACATTGCATCGTCGTGAATGTGCTTTTGTTAAAGTCTCTTAGCTTATCACAACGGTATTTTGCTTGTCATGTTAACGTTGAAGAATAACTTTGCAAACGTCAGGCTAGGTTTACACCTAAGCAGGGGGCTTTGTGTTTGGAAAAAAGCTTTGAAACTGAGATATAATTACACACTGTGAACTGAATGCCTGACATTTCACACATCTTGACACGCAAAATCCAAACAAAGAGAAGTAAACATCATAAAACTCAAAAAGCATCCATCTCTGATGAATAGTGTCAGCGACGTGAGGATGACGTCAGTGTGCAAACAGGGTTTATGATACTGTGTGTAAGTGGCATGTGTTTTGAAGAGTCACATGATCCCTAGGTTAGAAAACTTAGCATCCATTCATTTTAGGTGAAGCAACAATTATCCCAAAGTTTCACGGGACCTCCTGACTTTAAGGCTCATGCTGTTCTGGGCTGAGGCTGGTCAGTTGTGATTTAGAGGGGTGACAAGGTCAGGAACACTGCGAGGACACACACAAAGAGTGGCACTAGTGCACGGGAGTTGTTAAATGCATGTCTTTTCTCAACTGTTCTGCATGTGTGAGAGCCTGTGATTGAAAGTGAACACATAGAGAGAAGGTGTTGGGTTTCAGGTGCTTTAATCAAACCTCATCATCTGAGCTCTGGGGGTCTGGTCTGTGTGCCATTTATTCTCACAGGAGAAAAAGAGAAAAAAGTGTGAAATAAATGTAACAAAAAAAAAAAAAAAAAGGACCATGTGTTTCCTGTCAGGTGACTCCAGGTATTAAGGCAGGAAAAACAAAAAAACAAAAAAGAGAAACTCTCACTTAAATGAAGTGGAACTTTCTCTTGACTTTTTCTATTTTGTTAGCTCAGTTACGTCTGTTACGTCTCTCTCCGTGTGTGTATATGTGGTGGAGTGGTCGGGGTGTTATCTCAGCGATGTGTCAGACCTGCCGTACCACGGATTGGGTTACATGAGCTGCCTGTCATCGCAGACAAAATGAGCTCCTGTGGGACTGAAGAGACAAAGTGTTGTTCCCACCTCAACTATGTTAAACTCTGTATGGAGGTAATCTTTCACATTTGTTTTAGTTAGGCTTGGAGCTCCAACTGGGTAATGTTTCACACCAGATATCTGGAGACTACTTTACTGACGGGGATGGGAGTTAATCCACATTACAAACCCACTTATCATGTCTGAGGTCGGGAGTGGGGGGGTGTTCATCCAGATAAGGATAAGGATAAACTCTTGGGCTGACACTCAAAGACAAATAACTATTCACACTTAGACTTCACTAAAACTATAGTCAACCTAGGAATCACCATTTTCTCTAAACCTGAGCTTTTATTCACGTGTCTGTGAGTCTGAGTCACTGTGTGACTCTGCCTTCAAGTCTGGGAATGATGTAATTCCCAAAATTAAAAATGTTCAAGGTGGTTTGGTTTCTTTCCAAGTGAGATTGTTTTGTAAGCACAGTATTTAATTATTTCTGTGTGTGATCATCATAATAAAGGCAGAGTTCGCAGAGTTCATAAAACTGAAGCCACTCATTATCTGCAGCAGTGCTGCCCTCTGCTGGTATTGTTTCTTGTTCCTTCTTATTACAAGCTGCTGCTCCTGCATGAATTCTTTTACTGGTAGGAAATAAACAGCATGTCAGCAATGATTCTACTGCTGACATGCACCAGCTTTGCTTTGATACCACTGACCCAGGATGAAATTTATAAGCAACAAGACACAAACCATATCATGGAAATGTTTTGGTATTTACATTTTTTTTATAACTCTGTTTATTTTATGTAGAATTCTTTGATTCCAAACCCAGAGAAGTGTATTGGCTATAAAAGCTATAAAACCATGGCTGTAGATACATTACATGGCTTTTATATAAAAATTTAGCACACACTACAGGAAAGACAGTGAAAAAGACACGCTCCCTATGTTTATATCTTCATTATCAGTCAACATAAAGAGCCGTGTGTTATTTCTTTTACTGTTGTTTCCTTCTCTTTCACAGCTGTAACGTCTATGAAGGAATTGGGGGTGAAGGAGGGAGGGGGGGGGGCAGATAGCGGGCGTGTCATTTAAAACCCTTTTCTCCTCACTGGCTCACACAAACACATGAATTCATCTCTGTTCGTGGGAGGATTGTGCGGAAGTGTAGCTGTTTGCTCACCTCTCATTTGGCCAAAGGAATCTGTCACCGACGCATTATCGACCAATTCAGCTTATCCCTGAGTTACAGCTTAACCAATATTTACACAGCTCCATCCAGAGGAAGAGGCAGGCAGTTCAAGCAGAGGCATAAACAGGCACAGCCTTTTACAGTTGTGAAATACAGGAGGAAGGACGCATCTATGAAACCTGTCCTCAACCAGCAGCACTAAAGAAGGATTTCGTAGCCCATCCTCATTGATGATAGATAGTGATATTATACACAGTGCCTGACGTGATCATAAAACAAGTAAAAAGGCGGACTGTTTCCACGTGCATAACCTTAAAGAGAAAAACCAGGGGAAAAATATCTATAAATATATTCAGCGATGTTTTCTCTCAGTATATAATATTTTTTATTAATAACCCAGTTTATTTTTTTATTTTCTTTTACTGCAGACACAGGATTCTCAGTCTGGGATCACTGACAAAGTCACCTCCGTCTATACATCACGCATTATGATGTGACGACACGCACTAACCCACACCCAAACAAACTGGGTAGTTGTAAATTTAGAAGGAGACGAAGTGACTCTTCAGAGAGAGGACCCAGAAGGTCAGGTCTCCAGAGGGAGATAGTCTCAGGTCCACAGAGGGCCGTGAGCACTTCATACAGCCAGGACTGGAAAACTCCCCTGCGTCTGCTATTCCAGTAGTTCCCACAACAGTAAAATATGGGAATGAGAACAACAGATTAGCAGACGCTGGCTGGCAAAGTTCTTTACCTTCTTCCTCCATCCAGCTGACAGATAAATGGTTCTGCGTGACCCATTTGGCCGTGTTTCTTCTATTCAGCGCTTCACCCGTACAGAATTTCTTATTTTTTAGGGTTTATTTCAGCTCCCTTACATTATGTCTATCTACTGGGACCTG